TTATACAAAATGTTTATGTGATGACATGAGGTTAAGAGTAGGTTCAAACTCTGCCTCCACTATATAAGAAGCTATGTAATCTTGAGCAAATTACTTATCCTTCTTGTGCCTTACTTTCTTCATTTGTAAACTAGGGATATGAATACTTAGATTATAATATTGTTGCAAGAATTAAAATTGCTAATGTGTGTTAAGCATTCTGAGCTGTAGAACAGAACCTAATAGACTCTATAAATTTCAGCTTGTTATTATTTCCCTTTAGATTTGTTTGTAGCTACTTTTTTGGCTAATTTTCAGATTAATTAATTTACATGTTAGAATTTGAATACTGTGACTAGCCTAAGCAAAATAAAGATAGTGTCTAAATCTACCTGAGATATTAAAAAATAGTAGTTATTTGGACTTTGGATCATATTGTACATCAGAGCCCACATACTGACAGTGACCTGTATTCCTAGAGTTGACTAAAATTGAAGGTAAATTTTTGTTTTCCTCGGGATTATTTTATGTGTAGATGAAAATATTTCTTAGAAACATTCTTCACAGTAATTGGAAATAATGAAGGAAAATATTATATGCATAATGTGAAGAAAACCTAATAACAACTTATCTTTAATATGAAAATTAAGAAAATGACTTTAATAGTTATTAACATGTTGACTGTACAGGTAACCTTCAAGTTCAGATTGTGTGGGACAGCAGATAACTTTGTCCTTGTAGTCCAAAAGAGAGGCGGGATTGCCCTAAACATCCTCCAACCAAGACGGTAGCAGTTTAATGTAGAGTCTAAACTGATTTGCAGACTACACACTATAGTTTTCAAATAAATTGCTTATAAAAGCCATTTACATGGTGATGCACTTTAAAGGTGGAGTACATTCTAGGATAGAATGAATGAATGGAGTTGTATTTACCCAAGTTTCCCAGATTTGTTGGCTCAGTGTTGTGAGAGATGGGGCAGAAATACCAGTCATCTAGAGGTGCCAGTTTTTACTCTGAGTGGTTTGTGTAGGCCCCATGGGCAGCAGATGTGTAGACATCAGTGATAAGAATAATCGCCACCATTATTAAGAATAGAATGCCATCATTAAGAATAGAATGACGATGTTAATTTGTTAGGCTGTTGTAAGAAGATGTCGCCAACTGAGTGGCTTAAACAGTAAAACTGTGTCGTCTCTTGGTAAGTCTGTAAGTCTGAAATCAAGGAACTTGCGTGGCCATGCTGCCTCTGAAGGTGCAAGGGAAGGGTTTGCTCCAGGCCTCTCCCCTGGCTTCTGATAGTTCTTGGCTTGTGGCAGCATAATTCCAATCGTCACATGGCATTCTCCCTGTATGTGTCTGTCTTCACAAGGCCGTCTTTTTATGAGGACATCAATCATGTTTGATTAGGGGTCCACACTACTCTAATAATGTTTGCAACAGCCGAATTCTCAAGTAAGGCTACATTGTGAGGTACTGGGGTTTAGGACTTAAACATATGAATTTGGTGTGGGAGGGCACAGTTGCATTCATAACAAGTGACCATATATCTATTGTCCCAGTTAAGACACTTATGAGAGTGAAAGGGAGTAATATTGTATTAGGGTTCTCCAGAGAAAAAGAACCAATAGGGTATGTATAGATACATTATATGTAGGAGATTGATTATGGGAATTGGCTTACACAGTTATGGAGGCCAAGAAGTCCCCTGATGTGCCATTTGCAAGAGACCCAGGAAAACTAGAGGTGTAATATAGCCTGAGTTTGAAATTCTGCAAACCAGGGGAGCCAATCATGTAACTCAGCCAAAGGCCACAGGCCTGAAAACCAGGAGCAGGGGTTTGTTGATGTAAGTACTGGAGTCCGGAGGCCAGAGAACTGGGAGCTTCTGTGTCCAGGGGTTGAAGATGGATGTCATCTCAGATCAAGGAGAAAGATCGAGGGAGGGAAGGAGAGAGAGGACAACAGAGAGACAATTAATTAATTCACTGTTCCTCCATCTTTTTGTTCTATCCGGGCCCTCAATGGATTGGATGAAGCCCGCCCACATTGGTGAGGGTGAATCTTCTTTCCAGTCTACTGATTCAAATGTTCATTTCTTCTGGACACACCCTCACAGACCCAGAAATAATGTTTTACCAGCTATCTGGCCACATCCCTCAACCTAGTGAAGTTGACTGTAAAATTAACCAGCTGTTACTATATTGTTCTGGGATAACAGGCATAAACTGAGACTACTTTAGACAAAGCTGGATATATGGTCAGTGCACCCATAAGATAGGTATAATTTATCCAATTTTCAAACATTCAATGAGGTTGGATGACTTTCTTGGAGTTACAGCTGGAAGGAGGATGAGCAGTATTCAAACCCAGGACAATCACATTCCCAAGAAGGATTTAAAAAGCTATGCCTTAAGTTAGCCTTTTTAAGTCTCTGAACGGAATTCCTATATTATGACAGTAGGTAAAATCGGAAATGAATTTGTTATGTTTCTTCTTTAAAATTCCTTACTAGTTTTTAACTATATTTCTTTGTTGATGGATTTTGGCTACTATGAAAGGGAATAGTAACCTGGTATATTATATTAGAATTAACATACAATTATTTACCTGATGACTGCAAGTCTTTTGTTTTTGTTTGCTAGCTATTCTATTGCTGTTTGGAGAACAAAACCACACATAAAGCTGTGTGATACAAAGAGAATAGCTATGAATAGTAAATTATCTTAGGCTTGCTAGAAAAATAGTTTTATGTAAGTGTAGAGCACATTACTATTCTTACCATGCTTTATCCCTAATATAGCTTTGATTTGTTGATGGATTTCATTGTTAATCAATAAGAAGGAATCATTTTAGCCTTCTTTATTATCTATCACTAAAGTAAAATAAACTTTGAGAAATCTAATAAATGACTTTTTACACTTTATGAAGAAGAAAATGAAAAATTATCTGGAATTGTGTGACGAAGGAGCTGCCACCATTTAGCAGTCACATTCCGCTGTTTTCTGCTTGTCCTTTTCCTTTGTGGCTCAAGGTTAAATGATTAAGATCTCAATAAATGATAACTCCTGCTGTACTCCTACTATTGCTGCTGATGCTGTTACTGCTAGTACTGTGATGTTCATTTTTATCCCATCATCCTGAAATAGAAAAATTCTAGAAATATTGGAGAAGTGAAATCATTGTGACTTAGAGACTGGATAGAGGGAGAAGTGAGTAAAAAAGTGGGGGGTATCTTGGATGGCTCCCAAGTTTTTTATTTGGTAACTAGGTGAATGTGGTACAACTAATCAAGACAGGATATATAGCATGCACAAGACCAGAGGATAAATACCACAAATTCAAAACAATGCATGCTGATTTAAGCTGTTTGTGAGATACGCAAAGGCAGGTACCTGTTAGACATATCTGTACCTGGAGACTGGGGCTCAATAGACGTCTGGAATTCAGATAAGCATGTACAATCAACTTAGGGTTAAAATAAGATTATATTGTCCTAGATGTTACCTAGCCTTTGTTCTACTGACTGTGAAAAGCTGCACCTTCCTAGAGTCACAATGATCCTAAGGTCCATAATTGTAGGTCAGCTTACCTAGTGCAAAGGTTGATTTTGTCTCAGAGAAGTTGGCAGGTATGGATGGCTCATTTAAGGGTACTGTTCCTATTTGTGCTGTGATTGTTGTTTTTAGTTTCTTGCTACTTTTGGTGTTTGTCACCATTTTACAGTGCCTGGTCCAAAAGGAGGATCCTGAGTGCTCCTCCCCAAGGAGGAGAGGCTGCAAAATTCCACTTGGCAGGGGCACCGCTGCAGGTGCTTCCACATGATGTTACTGCTGGAATCAAAGTTTGGGAGAACAGTGTAAGGCCATTACACAACGGGGCCAGCCTTGAGACCCAGGAATGTAACTGTCCATTTCATGAAGCAGTGTCAGGGACAGGAGAGAGAGGGTCAAGGAAGGCCTTGATGAAAAGTGATCACTGGATCAACCAACAAGGGGCATTGTTGACCCCGTAAGAGAATTGACTGGGATAATGTATATGATATCTAGATTGGACTAGGATCAGAACCAAGTGGAACATGAGAGAGTAAAGGAAGAAGATACCCTGCTAGTCAAAATGCCTGGCTCTGAAGGGAAGGAAAGACAGAAGTTTTGTATTAGCTGAAGGAAAATATTTTATCGTGTTAATCTTTGATTGCAGCCAGGGTCTAGCATCCTGCCGTGAAAGTACATTGTTAAATGAAAGAATAAATCAATTTGTGATTTTGAGCTGTGATTTTGAACTACTGTCCATTGTAAATAATTTGGCTTTGACAAGAGGGCATCTTCAGATCCCTTTTGGAGATTACATTTTGTCACTTCACAGTATAATTTTTTTAAAAAAATGTGCTGTGTATACATGTGCTTGCTTGTCATGAAAAACATCTTGGCTGTTTTCTAAATTATAGCCTCTAGGTGAGAGGTATTTGATTATATCAGGAAGTATGGATTAATTATTATTTAGCTGAACTACCAATGGTCCTTTTGAACATATACCAATTTCATGAAATTCTTTTGAAACTCACAGCCTTAACTGAGACAAATTCGTTTATATGAAACAAAAAATAAAACAAACCAAGGTATCAATGAATCAGTTAAATAATTCCTTTTTCAAGAGTAGCACAGTAACAGAGCAAAGTGATTAACATAAAATATTTTTAACAAATTCTTAAAATTAGGAGATTTAATTTGAGCTCAACTATTAAAAGAAATATGCAGCAAATATGCTACTGGTAAATGTTGTTTATTTTTGGGTATTGGAAGTGCTCTGAGCTCTGTGCACTCTCCATAGGAGAGGAGGCTACAGTCCACTGCTGTCCTGCACGGCCCATGCTTGGGTCTGCCCCTCTGTGCCTATAGCCACTTCTTGAAGTAGCACAGGACATATGTGGTGGCCAGGATCTGAGTGTGTGAGAAGTGATAGCACAGGACTGGTTCTGCTACTTTACCTTTCTCTGACATGGAGGCTTCCTTTCTTTGTAGGTGAACGTCCCTATCAGTGCCCTTACTGTGAAAAAGGATTCAGTAAAAATGATGGACTGAAGATGCACATTCGTACTCACACCAGGGTAAGATTATAATCTGTCTCATTAATATTGATAATAAAAACCATACTTACTTTAAAATAAATGTATTTAACTTTTTTACAAAATAAAGGCAATCTACTGGAGGTTATATATCTATATTTATGATAGACATTTAAGGATAATTTTTTTTAAAAGAAAAAAACAATGAAAAAACAAAAGAAAACAAAAATTGAAATCCCAAAAGAATTTCTAGTCTTTGAATCAGGAATCAATTTTCAGGAGTTACAAATGACCAACTGCCAGATTAATCAATTTTTAACATTTTAATACTACAATATTTAAAGGTTTTTCTAGCATGATTATTCACCAGTAATACAAAGATATTTTTTTTTTTTTTTTTTTTTTTTGAGACGGAGTTTTGCTCTTGTTATCCAGCCTGGAGTGCAATGGCGTGATCTCCGCTCACCGCAACCTCCGCCTCCTGGGTTCAGGCAATTCTCCTGCCTCAGCCTCCTGAGTAGCTGGGATTACAGGCACGCGCCACCATGCCCAGCTAAATAGGAAGATTTTAAATAGAGTCTGCAAGTTTTTCAGCATTTGGCCATTAAGTAATACTTCTGAGCAAGTATATTTGCAAAGACATTGCAGATAAATTACCAGAACAGGTGGAAAAGAAGGAAGTGTAGCTCAGTGCTTCACAGGGCATGCCTAGTGTTGTGGCTCATTCTTCCTAAGGTGCTCTTTGTTCCCTTGCTGTCAACACTTTTACTGGACTATTGTCACTCTGTTATCTATGTCTTTTCCAGACTCAAGTATGTGTCTCACATGCTTTTAAAAAAATGTAAGCAGCTTACTCACCATCAGCCACCAAGGCACAATTAGACACTTTAAATGAACTTTCCACATGGAAATTTTGTATCGTTTTAAATAGCTGTTCTTGATTTTGCTCTATACAGCTTTTCAATGCATTATCTTTGACAGATCCTTTTCAGTTTGCCCTTTTAAAGTGCTTATGGTCTGTATGTAAATGATATATTTTTTTCAAATTTTAAGAGACTTACCTAATCCCCTTTAGAACAATTCTAATTTAAGTCTCTCCTGAATTTTGCTTTTTACCTTAGCTATAAAATAAAAAGTTTGGAAAAAACACGTAATAATAATATTCTTCCCAGTATAAAAATATTGTAGCCTTCCACTTCAGTTCTGTAGCACATAAAGGCTATCCTCTGAGGTCCCCTTAAGAAAATACTCTTTTTGTCTTTGCGGTGAAGAGAGGAAGCTTCTCCACTCATTAAAGCAAATCTATAACAGGTTTCTCCTTCTAGTTTGTAGCATCATATTCATATTATATGAATATTGGGAATTGGAATACTTCCTAGATATAAGAGTACTTCATAAACCATAAAGGATTAGACAGATATCCCTGTTTATAATGGTATGATTTAAATGTACAATACTCAAAATATTTCACAACGAGTATTATGAAGGAGGTTTAAATTAGTTTTAGATTTGGAGGTTATTTTATATGTGAACAGTTGTCACAAATGTATCAATAATATGTTTATTTAGAAGATGCCAACATATAGGCAAAGTTCGGATTCCTCTTAATAAAAACCAGTGATATTGACAGAAATTTACATATGATGTTGTTTTACTTGATTACTGAAGATAGACATGATTACACACAGAAGAAGTTGTTTAAATCACTGCACGAAAAAATATCTTTTGGGTTTTCTCCAGAAGGTGAGACGTTTCCAATTCAATTAATTTGTTTTTTACTTTGTTTTAATATAAAGTAATTAATGAGAATAATACAGATAGTTAAGATGAATAAAAATATAAAAACCACTAATTACATGGTAGTACTCTCTAGACCTTCACATTTATTAAATCATTTAAGCATCACAACAACTCTATGAGGTAGCTGTTATTATGATTTCTTTTTGCAAAACAAGAAATTGAGGCACAAGCCAAGTGGCAAAGTTAGGATTTGAACCTAGAGAGAGTGACTACAGAGACCATTTGCAATTTTTTGCCTATTATTTCATTGAATATTTTCTGATTCTACTCTCTCATATATTTTCTGGTATATTTCCAGACTAAACAAATTATAGTAATGACCTCAAATTTAAAAGTCCCGTATTCTTTTGAGCTTTTGAACCTCGATTTAAAGATCCCAATACTGTCTCCAAAGTGTTCAGCTGCAGATGGCCCCTTGTCAGTTTTCTGACATTAACTGCGCTAAAAGAAAACAAATGCTAGGCTTTGACTAAAGGAACTAAAGAGAATGCACAGACCAGAAGCACCCAGGATTTTAGGCAGGATCCCCCACAATGAGTAGAGAGTGCTATCCAAGAAACAGGGTAAATATGTGTAAGCCTTTTGGGTTTTACCTCAAACTCTTCTTTAATATTCCTTTTTCATGCATTTTTAAATATTTTACTCAGTTTTATTTTGAAACGCCTATTTCCTAAGCATTGAATAAATATACACATAACCTTTGCACATTAGTCCAGAATTTTCAAAAAATTTCAAATTTTTAAAAGCCCACTAAGGTTATCAGCTAGTAAAATCAAACTACTATTAAAACCCAAAAGATATTTTAAAAATGTTCTAGAGGAACAGGCTCTGCAAAGTCATATTTTCCCAGTGTTATTTGCATTTTGTAAGTCTCAGCTCAAAAAAGATACTATTACATTTGGGCCATAACACATTTCAGCTTCAATTTTGCATTCACATTACATAGACATTTAGAAAGCTGTAATTCCCAGACACTTTTGGTTCTATTTTAAAAGTTTTTCATTCCAGTATAACAACAGAAAAGAAATGCTATTTAATTCAGTAAGGTACATCTTCAGGAAGTTTTGGTGAGATGATCCTAGATGCTGTGTCAGGCCTGTACCCCCAGGTTTACATTCTGTGGTAACTGTACGAATGCCTTCTAGAAGGAACACAAAGCCATTTACCCGAGTTATTGTCTGTAGGGTGCAGTAAGAGCCCCAGATGTGGGAGATAATTTTTGCTAAATTCCAATTAATGATTGACTTTTCGTGGAGAGACCAGGGTTTGAAGTGAAGGCTGGTGATTTTATTTCCTTCAGTATATTTTCTTTATACTTGGTTTTCAGCTTCTGGCTATGTTGTGCCTATTTATGTTTTTCCATTGTATTTTTCCAGCTTAGATCTGTAGTCTGCTATCTTTAGTTATATCTCAAAAAATTCTTGTCTGTTTTAAAAAAATTTTTTTTGTACCTTTCTTTTTGTCTTCTTATGGGACACCAGTTACACATTAGAGTATTTGATATTGTTTCAGAGCTCTTGAGTACCTATTCTCTTTTTGTTTGCTTTGCATTTTAAAAAATCTCAGTGTTTTTCTCTCTAATTTCTATTGACATTTTCAATTTCATTGATTTTTCTACCTCTGTTGTGCTCAGTCCCCCTATTGAAAGAGTGTATCTTTGATAATATGTTTTTCATCTCTAGCATTTTCACTTGGATTTTTAATAGTAGTTTCTATAAGGCCTGGCACAGTGGATCATTCCTGTATTCCCAGCACTTTGGGAGGCTGAGGAGGGAGTATTGCTTGAGGCCAGGAGTTTGAGGCTGCAGTTGACTATGATTGTGCCACTGCACTGCAGCCTAAATGACAGGGTAAGACCCTGTTAGACTCAGTTCAAAAAAGATACTATTACATTTGGGCCATAACACATTGCAGTTTCAAATTTACATTTAAAAATAAGAAAATTCACGAGGTCAAGAGATTGAGACCATCCTGGTCAACATGGTGAAACCCTGTCTCTACTAAAAATACAAAAATTAGCTGGGCATGGTGGTGCTCACCTGTAGTCCCAGCTACTCGGGAGGCTGAGGCAGGAAAATTGCTTGAACCCAGGAGACAGAGGTTGCAGTGAGCTGAGATCGTGCCATTGCACTCCAGCCTGGGTAACAAGAGTGAAACTCTGTCTCAAAAAAAAAAAGAAGAAAATAAATAGTTTCTGTATTTCTGTTGAAATTGTCAATTTGTTCATCTGTGTGACCCACCTTTTTCACTAGATTCTTTGACATATTAATTGTAATTATTTTAAATTCTCTCTTTGGTATTTCTACCATCAGGGCCATCTGTGGATCTCATTGTTTTGACTATTCTTTCTTGATAATTAGTGGAAAGGTTGCAGGAGTTTGCTTTTTAAATGTCATATAATTTTTGATTTAATGTCTGTGTGTGTGCGTGTGTGTGTGCGCGTGTGTGTAAAAGAAACTAAGTCTCTAAGTCTAATTGGAGACTAAAGTAAATACTGCTTATGCCTGGAAATGAGTACACCTCTTCTGCTAGGCCATTGATGTGAGTCAGGGCTTGAGTCATTCTTGTCAGTAGCTGAACTAGGTTTGGGGTTTTAAGGAATCAACTCTCATTGTTTTCCTTCCTACCCAATTGTAACAGCTCTCTCTTCCTCTGACAAAGGTGAGACATTCTGTGTTCCATTATTTGACATTTAGTTCATCTGACTGTCTTGTGACCGTAGCTCACAAAATGTTTCGTGACATTAAGCTCAAAAGAATGACTAAATTTTTCAGCTTTTTGTCATTAAGTTGGGGGTGATGTTTTTGTGGCTTTCCACATCCTATAAGCAGTGATTTCTTTTTAACTGTGTAGGCTTTTGGGGGATAACTTTTTCTACTTAATAGCTCTAGATTAATTTTCTACCCAGGAGCTGATAAAAGCAGAACCTCTTCCATTCCATGTTCAGTTAGCTCCTTTATTCAGTCAGGGAAGCACCCCTACTTAGAGGCCCTATGTGGATTTAGGCCAATTTGTTATGGTTTCTATAAAGGGGTTCTGTTTCCTAGGATGCAGTCAGACCCTGGCAACCTCAGGCAAGCCTCAGCAAGCTCTCCCTCAGGGCATTGGCACTTGGAGCCATTTCTCATCCGTGTCTAGAACTGCTTTCTCCTATCCCACTCATGGTCTTTGTTTTTTGCTTGGGTGGTGGATGAGACAGCTATTTCGATGGAGCAGATCATCTTTTGGGGAAGATTTTTTTT